TTGGGGATGGTAAGTTTCTTTAGATTTCCAAAACTGGTCATTCTACATTACCCACCTCATCTCGTTCTTTGACTTTATCTGATGTGATTCATGTTCCTTCTATAACTAAAAATCTTGTATCGGTTTGAAAGCTAGAGACAACCATGTCTTCTTAGAATTCCATTATCATGATTATATGGTACGCGATGATGGTTCTGGTGTTGTTTTGTTGTGCGGGAAGGAGGTCAATGGCTTATACGAGTTTCAGTCTAGTAATTCGTTGTTTGATGATTCTAGTCCAAAGGTGTTTGTTTCAAAAGGAGTTGGTGTTGATTATAGTATATGGCATGATCGTCATGGTCACCCTTCTCATGTTGTTTTACTTAAATTGAGAAATACATGTAATGATATTAACATCCTTGGTTTAAATAAAACGCCTCTTTCCTTATATGTTGCTTGTCAAATGGGAAAAGGGCATGCACTACCATTTACTAAATCTATAACTATTTATGATCGACCGTTTCAATTGGTTTTCACTGATCTATGGGGTCTTGCACCCATTCCATCCAATGGATTCAAGTACTACATCATGTTTGTTGATGCATACTCTCGCTATACGTGGTTGTATTTGCTCCGAGATAAAGGTCAAGCACTGCACTGTTTTCAATTATTCAAACAACTTGTTCATACACAATTTGGCCCTGATATACTTGTTGTTCAGAGTGATTGGGGCGAGGAGTATCACCCATTCACTCATCTTCTTTCACAGGAGGGTATTCAACATCGTTTTACTTGTCCTCACACTTTCCAGCAAAATGGTGTTGTTGAAAGGAAACACCATCATGTTATTGAAATGGCATTTACTTTATTAGTACATACTTCTTTTCCAATAAAGTTTTGGTCCTATGCTGCTATTATTGTTGTTCACTTGATCAATCGGCTTCCTACAAAAGTCCTCGATGGTTTGTCTCCATTTGAACTTTTGTTTGGAAAGAAACCCTCATATGATCACTTAAGAGTTTTTGGTTGTCGTTGTTTCCTGTATACTCGCCCATTTCAATCTAATAAGCTTGCTTTTAGATATGAACCATGTATTTTTTGGGATATAGTACTCAGCATCATAACAATCAGTGTTTGGAAAAAGGTGGTTTGTTGTATATTTCTCGACATATAATCTTTGATGAATGTATTTTTCCATATGCAGATGATGATATGCGTAGCATTGCGCCCCAGACTCTTTCGAGTTCAAGCAGGTCGTTATTTGTTGTTCTAGGTGTTGATCATCTTAGCAAAGCACCTGTTTCATCTTCCTTTGTGGCTTCTTCATTCACGGGTTCCACCTCACGAGTGAATTCAAGACCTGTAGAAGATCAATCTCATACTAGTCCTACTATATCTGCCCAAAGTCACACTGCTCCTTTGCCTGAAGACATTGTATCTTGTCCACCAGGTGAAGAATCTTATTCCATTGAAGATGAGGGTAATACCACACGTACTAATTTGGTTCATGATCCTTCTGTGGCTCCTAATAAATCCTATGTTATACCTCGGGATATTCAAAATTATCACCCAATGGTGACATGCAGCAAAGTGGGTATTTTTAAACTAAAGGTTCTTCTTTCTGCAACTGAATATACTGATGTTGCCACTAAACCAACTTCATTTTATCAAGCTTTTTAGTCGGTCAAATGGAAGCAAGTTGTACTTGATGAGTATAATGCATTGTTTCGAAACAAATCTTGGACGCTTGAACCACTACCCTCTGGTCGATTTGCTATGGGTTGTAAATGGTTATTTAAAACTAAGCGAAATGTAGATGGAACAGTAGCTTGTTTCAAATCTTGATTAGTAGCTAAGGGGTTTTTACAAACCTCTGGTTGTGATTTTGACAACACTTTCAGTCCAGTGGTAAAAGCTTCTATAATCAACGTGGTTTTTTCTATTGCCACTGCTCATGGATGGCCTCTGCGACATGTGGACATCAACAATGCCTTTTTAAATGGTGACCTTGGTGAAGATGTGTTTATGACTCAACCACCTGGCTTTGAACAATAGGGTGCTACTGGAGAAGTGTTGGTCTGTCATCTGCAGAATGCCTTATATGGTCTAAAGCAAGCTCCTCGAATGTGGTATGGTACATTGCATCGGTTTCTTCTTGATCTATAATTTTAAGAGTCACATGCTGATGCCACTTTGTTTGTCCATTGCATGGATGGAAGTCGTGTGTTCATGCTTGTTTACGTTGATGACATTGTCATCACTGGGGATTCATCTACAGTTATCGAAACGGTTGTTCAGCAGCTAGGTAAAAAGTTCACTTAAGGATCTCAGTTAACTATGTTATTTTTTGGGTATTGAAGTTACAAGGTATAGTGATAGACTTGTTTTAAAACAAAAAAAGTTTATCAAGCAGCTTCTTGAACTATCAAAAATGATAGGAGCTAAGTTTGTTCATACTCCTATGATTTTATCTCCAAAGCTTAAGAAAGATGCAGGGGAATCTCTTAGTGATGGACAACAGTTTCGGAGCATTGTTGGTGCCTTAATGTACCTCAATCACACCCGACTAGACGTTGCATTCAATTTACATCATGTAGCTCAGTACGTGCATAACCCATGCGAAGAACATTGGATAACTGTCAAAAGAATACTCTGTTATTTGGCGGGTACAATCCACTATGGTCTTGTATTTTATGCTAATAGTTCGACAAGTAATCTTGTTGCCTTTGCTGATGATGATTGGGCAAGTAATCCAGATGACCGCAAGTCAATATTAGGCTAGTGTGTATTCCTCGATAATAATCTAGTTTCATGGAGCTCAAAGAAATAAAAAATCGTGGCTCGTTCTACCACAGAAGTATAATATCGAAGTATTATTGACACTGTTGCTGAAGTTGTTTGGATTCAAACATTACTACGAGACATGGGTGAGAAGCAAGTTAAAGTTCCTGTTATATGGAGCGATAACACCAGTGCGGTGGCGATGAGTGTCAACCCTGTATTTCACGCTAAGTCAAAGCATGTAGAACTAGATATGTGTTTTGTGCGGGAAAAAGTAGCAAATAAAGAACTAAGTGTAAACTACGTTTCTGCATCTCATCAACTTGTTGATGGTTTGACAAAACCATTGTCAAAATTTACTTTTACTCTATTTCGTGACAAGGTTCAAGTTGTTAATGAAGAAACCATAGAGAAGTCGGAAGGATGTTGCAGCTATGGAATACCTATAGAAGAGTAGGAAGAATGCTATGGCACGAGTCACCTACGTTGCATGAGTTAGCTGTAGGTTGTTGGTTATTGTTAGCTCTAAATGATGAGTTGTAGGTTGTTAGAGATGGTTCTAGAACTATTTGCATATGTAGAGTGTTATAAATAAGGTGATGATGCATATTTGACAGCAATGAAAGAATTATATTCTTGTTAGATTATTCTTAGTTTGTTATCACCCAATAACTCTTGTAGTCTACCTGAAAACCCTCCAAAGTTTCAGCTATTCCATGTTGGGAAGATATAAAATAGTAGTACAAAACCGTAATATTTATGGTTAAATTTAGACAAACTACTTAGAGTTTTCAATACGAGGATTTAAACTGAAGACATGGTTTTATGCTTACTATGGTTAAATCTATAATACGTACGCAAATATTATTGTCCTCCCCATTGGTCTATTGGGTATTCTAAAATGAACTTTCATTAGTAAAAAAGTAAAGAGAAATAATAGAGGAAATGATTTATAGTGGGAGATGAACATTCACATGCATGGGATGTGTTGTCCAGTAGAAAAAGAGCTTTCTGAAAAAAAATAGGCCCAAAACGGAAAATTCTATGATACATGACCATGTATCGAAATATATTATTAATTTTAAAGGTAAATTTTTTAAATGGTCATTAAATTATATTAAAATACTTCTTTTGAATATTGAGCTTTAAAAGTTACATAATATCTCATTCAATCAATCCCTCAATTATATTACAAAATGAATATCACATCTTTAATTATCATTAAAGAGATAGCTTAACATGTTAAATTAATAAAAAAAATCTCATTCAACCCTCAATTAAAAATTAAAATATTCTGAAATAATAATTCTAAAATATCAATTTTAAAAATCCATATATTAAAAAAATATTTTTTTTAAAATTTTTTTGGAATTATTACTTAAAATTATTGAAAATGTATTTAAAAACAAAATCTTAGTCACAATTGAGGGAGTAAATGAGAATTTTTTTATTAATTTAATATGTCATATTAGCCCTTAACTTTAGTCGAGTGTCAATACATTTTTTTAACGAAATCTAAAATTTAATATTTATTTTATAATTTTTAAAAAGTTGAAAGTCTAAAAAGATCATTTTATTATATTTCAATAACGATTTATAAATTTATACTTGTACATATCAGTGTACAATGTAGACTCATCCGACCCACAACTATATGATTATATTAATCTTTATTAAATATAATCACAGTTGATATACGAATAAAATATATTCAAAATCTTCCAACAAAATAGGCATATCAGAGACAAATACAAGGTAGGATTATAGGGACAATATAAGAAACAGACAAAAACCATTTATTATTCTACCCTTTTGTAATCACTAAAAGGACAAATGTGAATGAAATTGGAAGAGTTATTATCCAAATTCCTCCCTTCCATGTTTTACTTTCGCCTCAATTGCATGTTTTTTTCCTAACATTTTTCTTTTGCTTTTCTAATTTGCCGCTTTCATTTGCCTGTTAAAGTTGATACTTTAATCATGATAACCACCTCCACCACCACTAGCAACGCCACGTTAGTTGGTTTCCACCCATCACGGCGGCTACTATTTATCAATCAATTAATATACGTATCAGAAAGGTAAAGTACTGAAAAAAAAAGTAAACAAAAATCAATAATTAACAACTTCAAACCCCTTAGAACCAGGCTTTTTAACTATTTCAAAATATATCTAAAATAAATAAATAAAGCGATAATGATGGAAAAATAAGAAAAAAAGGGAAGCATGCGAGGGATTGTTCACGAGTCTTTCTTTATGGCGTCATCAACATAGCTTGCATGTGAAAGCTCCTTTATCCATTCAAAGGTTCGATGACGAGACAAAGCTTGCTTTTTCTTCTTTTTATCTTCAATGGCGGCAACATGTGGTGTTGCTTTGTCTTTCTCACTGTTCTTGTTACTTTTGGTGAAGACTACGTTGTTCAGTGGAACTGTTTCAACTGCATTAACAGAACATGTACATCCGCTAAACAATCCCATTCTCTTTTCTAAGAACCCTATGTTCAAATCTTGCTGATTCTTTGCTACTTCTGCGCTGCCATTGTTAAGAACATTCTTGGTGCTCGAACTGCTTTTACTGCTATTACAGCTGCTGTTTCGGCTGACGGAATTTTTATTGCCATTGTTGTTGTTGTTGTTGTCGTTGCTGTTGCTACGTAGTTTCAAGTCTTGGAATTCAAGCTCCGGTGCTCGAACCAAGCCTAATCTGAAAAAATCCCACATCGATGATCTATGGTTTCGGCTGTTTGGTGTTCGGGTTTTGGACAATCTGATTTGTGGCTTGGGGCTCGGATATGTATTGAAGTTGTTTCTGATTTTGATGGCCTTTGGCTTGGGATTGGGACTTTCCATTCTCGCAGCCATTGAATTATTGCTGCTTGTTGTATACTGGCTGCTTCTAGTGCTGCTGCTACTAACACTTGTGAACCTACTTAATGAACCATGGTCCATGGACTCTGACCTCGACAAGCTGATGCTGGTGTTGTGGCTGTCTTGCCGGAACCCATTTATTCCACTGTCCGAGCTGACGGAGTGACGCAGTGGTAGAATTTGGCCTTTGAAGAACACTTCATCAGCTGCACACATCTCTGGTTTTATCGAAAGAGAGCCACCCCATGAACCAAAGTTGAAATCTTCTTTTGTTTGACTCGTTTGAGCCGGTTCACCATCTTCTTCTTGGACCACCTGGTTCTCTTCTTTAATCAAATTGACAGGCAAATCACACAGCGACAACGCTTCTTCTTCTTCCTCAGCTTCCCATTTTTGTTCATCACAATTTTTAATTACAGCACTCTCCATTGCTTTGTAACGCAGTACAACCTGGGATGAAAAAAAGGGTGGAGAAATGGGATTTATATAGAGAAAAAGAAGAAAGTAAATTTTGAATTTCAGAGAGATAGAGAAAGGGGGACAAGTGGAAGAAAAAGAAGTAGAATGTACTGGAAAAGTAGTAATAATAGAGAAACAAGAATGGAAATTTTACAAGTCAGAGCAGGCGAAGCAAACATGGTGGTGGCGGTGTTTTAATGTTTTGGAGTTGAAACAGAGGGGGGGACTATGAGGCCGGCCATTAGCCAAACCGAGGGGGGGGGGGCCTTAGATTTTATGCTTGAGTGGGGGTAAACCTAGAAGACAATCTGGCATGTAAACTTTATAGAAAATGTTAAAAAGTTGATTTATAATGATGACTAATCTCTAGGATTCCATTTAGTGAATCGAGTTCTTTTGGGTAGATTCACAATTTTAAAACTCCTTGAAATGACAAATGCTTTATTGAGATCGAGGGAGCTTTGAATTCGAAAGAGAGAATGTCATTCATTAGGTGTCTGATTTATGCCTTCGATGAGGAATGACTTGGATTGGGATGTAAGAGATTTTAAATTTATGGTCCACAACCAAAATTGTCTTAATTTGAGGATGTAAAGGCCAGAGTTGGCATTGATTATAAACCTCATTAATGTTGTGCCATATCTTTACAGTGATGTTTGAAAATTGAAAAGATTCTGCATGGAGTGCTTTTCTGAGACTCTTTTTGCATCAGTCTGCCGAGTTCAGTATTCCCATTAACACATCATTAATCGTCTTATATTATTTCATTTATCTTAAGATATTTTTTTACTATATTAAAGCGATTATAATATAATATATGTTCTAGATATTTTTAATATTTGATAATAAACACTTAAAGATTTTTGTTGTCATCGTTTGTGCTCGAATCTAAAATTTTTAAAATTAACAATTATTCTTTTAATCACTAAATTAATTTGATCCATGATCGCCAGATATTTTAAATTTATTTAAAATTTGATATACATTAATACTTTCAACATAATTTAATTAAAACATTAACTCTTAATAAAAATAAATAAAAACAAAACATTAACTGTACTGTATTGTTAGTTAATCCAAAACGATCAACGATGAATTCAGAACAATTTAAGGAGCCAATAGACTTCAAACAATTGGGCTCAATCTGTTCAAGAGTCCGTAATTGTGGACCAAGTCTCCCGTCATGGCAACACGTGGTAGGCAAAATTGGACCTACGTGCCATGTGATTTTCTAAACACGTATGCATTTCAAACAGTCCGCCGTGACTGTATCACTGCCCCCCCCCCTCCTCTTTCTCCGAACCGATACCCTCGTCTAGGGTACTCAAACTCTTGCAAGAAATACCATCAAGATAAATTCCTCAAATTTCGATTCAAAATATCTTTTAAAAAAGATGAAATAAAAACGTTGGTTGAAAATGTCCTTTTTATCTGTATTACTCCTTAACCGGAAAATTCCCTGTTTCTCAATTCAATCAAATCACTATAGCTACACTTTATGGTCTCTATTGTTGCATCCGAATTCCAGAACTCAGTGGTTCAGCTCAGGAGCTGGCTCCGCCACTCGGACTGAGTTCCCTGGCGAGAATGCGTACGGTATCTTAGGAGTTGCCGAGACCACTTCGTTCGCTGAAATCAAAGCTTCATTTCGTAAGCTGGCAAAACAAACACACCCTGACCTTGCTGAGTCGAAGAACGATTCATCAGAGTCTTCGAAAAATTTTGTCCGGATCCTCGCTGCTTATGAGGTGTTGTTGCGATTAGTACTCTCCCAAATTCAGTCCAATACTTTTGTTATGAATGTGTTTTTATCTTTTATTGATTTCGATTACTAGCTAAATTTGAAATATGAAAATTGGTAGCAATTTAATTGATAATAAATCGAACATATTCAATTCAATTTTATGAAATTTTGCTAAAAATGATTGCAGCTACGCTAATTGGTACCTTTTGAATCCCGTTTTAGTGTTGGAAAATGGAAATAGATAACATTAGAATCGTCTTTTGGTAGATTTAGGTTACATTGAATCATTCTTTTGTCAAAACAAAACATTGGAATTACTTTCAAATGTAATCCATTTTAAGAATTTAGAGAAAGAAGAGTTAAGGTACAGCTGGGAGATTGATTGTATCCTACTAATTGTATTATGGTAATGGACGTGCTTTATATTCTCTTATGGATGCATTTATAATAAATGGCATTCTAATGCAAGAGTGTTATCGATTTATGCTTTTATAATACAGACCATTCTGATGCATGAGTGTTATCAATATCGGGTTGCAGATTCTGAGAAGAGGGCGCATTATGACAGCTATCTTCTATCTCAAAGAATGGTTGTGCATAAACATTCTAGACAAGGTTCAACGTTGCCCCATATGACTATTAATAAGCAGATGGAAGTTGTTGAATGGTTAAAGTGGTATAGATTAACTATAAATGATATCGTGTCTCAAAGGAAAACAGTGGTCGGAACTGGCTATTTTGATGTTCTTGAAGCAGATTTTTATTCTGCGATACAAACAGCATATTATGGTCCTGTAATTGAATCCATTGATCTTCTTCCTGATCGATTTGAAGCAGAAGAAAGGTCTGTGTATGAAACTACGGAGGTACTGCACTTGGTTTCAGGGCGTGATCTTTTTGGGATGGTTTGCCTGGTGGATAGGGTTCCTGAGTTATCTTTTGCCTATAATGAGAAATTGACTTCTTCTATGTCTTCAGCTTCAATCATGTCTCGGTCTACCCAAAATTCTAGAATCTGCATGAATGACAAGCATGACATCCATGGTGGAAATTCTCAGATTCGAGTAACAGATATAAAAAACCATGCATCTGATGCATATAGGGATTTGGAGTTACATGTGTCTGGAAGGGTGGTAGCTGTTGCCACCAGAATCCCTCCTAAAAGCTGTTTTGGTGAAACACAAAATGAGGATGTTGAAGACCTCATCCAAGTTTTTCTTACTTCAGATGATGATTCTATGCCTTTCAGTCAAGGATTGGATTGTAAAGTTAGATCCCGAGTTTTGTTGGGAAAAATAACTGGACTTGGAACCAGCCCAGAAGAGGGATCATGTTTTGTTTACAATAGCAATGGTTCAAAAACCCATGTGATAATGAAACATAGGACATTGCTGGTTTGTAATTATGTTCTTCTTAAATCCTATGCCATTTTGCTCCTATCCTTTTTATAGATGCATAGCTTTGGCTTTTAGTATATTTAGACAATCTTTGCTGGCCTAATTTTTTTCTCTTTCTTATTTTCTTAAGTAATTTTGTTCATAGAAAGTGCTGCATGTACTATATAATTGATGGATCTGCATAATCATTTACGTATCAATTCCCTTTTGATTTGCTTTTCTTTTCCAGGTGAAGCATATGCACTGGTATCGAGTGGGAGAGGAAGTTTCTGTTTGTGAGTGTAGATGTAGTAGAGCTTGGTTACCATCTAGCAAGTAAGCTTCTTCTTTCCTTTTCTCTTTTTAATTGTAAAATAATGTTTAAAACCAATGCCTGGTTTTGACTATTCTCACATTAGCATTCCTTTTTTGTAGCTAAATGCAATTGTTATCATTTAGAAAGCCAGGGTGACTATAATAGTATTTTTTTTTATTCAGTAGATTGGATGTTTCATAATTTAGAATAAATCCGGTAGATTTCATTTATTGATTTTTACACTACTATTCTCTTTAGAGAAAATCGCCTCAGTGACCAAAAAAAAGTTATAATATACGATTTTAACCAACTTTTTTTGGATTTGCCAAAATGACCAACAAAATCGCAACGCGAAATAAAAATCGCAACGCGATCCCCAGAATCGCAAATCAGTTTCCAGAATCGCAACGCGATTCTTGAAAATCGCGATGCGATAGTACAAATTCGCATTGCGATTTTCCATAATCGCAACGCGAATATGAAAATCGCAACGCGAACACATAAATCGCAACGCGTATCCGTAAATCGCAACGTGTATCCGTAAATCGCAACGCGTATGGGTAAATCGCAATGCGTATCCGTATATCGCAACGCGTATCCGTAAATCGCAACGCGTATCCGTAAACCGCAACGTGTATCCGTAAATCGCAACGCGTATCCGTAAATCGCAATGCGTATCCGTAAATCGCAACGCGTATCCGTAAATCGCAACGATAATCCGTAAATCGCAACGCGTATCCGTAAATCGCAACGATAATCCGTAAATCGCAACGAGAATCTGTAAATCGCAACGATAATCCGTAAATCGCAACGAGAATCTGTAAATCACAACACTGAAATTTTGGGTATATAACACTGAAATCATAAACTAAATCCCTAAATCGCAACTCATTCCATCTCCATCTATCACTCTCTCCGGCGACATCCGTTCCTATATCCAACGACATCCTTCCCCATCCGGCAACAGGTCTTAGTTTCGCATCTCGTTTGTTTAGTTACAACCATGAAATCATCTAATGTTGATCATGTTTGGATAGATTTGTGTTTTGGAGGGTCATGGGATAATGTTAATGGTGTTTTACAATATATGCCTTTACCCATAAATCTTCAACTAAAATTGTCTTTACAAAAGTTAACTTATGAAACTCTAATGCTACGTGTTTCAAATAAATTGAATTTAGAGCCCCTAAGTGGATTTAGGCTATCTTATCAGAGAAATGGTAAAGTTTATTTGTTAACCGACAATGAAGATGTTGAACGATTCATTGCTTACATTAGTGTTTCACAAGATGATGTTACATTGTATGTTGTTGAACCTAGAAGTAGTATTGTTGGGTCAGTAGCGGGTAGTAATCAACTAAGTTTTTCTCAAAACCCACAACCTTTCTCTAATCCAAATCCCAATCAACTTTCAGCACCAAATTCCGGTTTTCGTATTGACCAGTTAGACGATGATGAGCCAACAGAAAAAATTGTGAGTACTAGTCAGTATTCGAAATTTGGTCTTGGTCAATATCCGGACTTTGATATTGGTCAATACACGGATTTTGATGATGTTTCAGAAGAAGAAACAGACCATGCGTGTAATGATATTGATATTGGTCAATACCCGAATTTTGATGATGAACAGCCGTTGCCGAAGAATGTAATGTTGATGATAATGAGGAGGAAGTTACGACTGTGAATGAACATGTTGAACATCCATTCTGTAATTCATATAATCCTGAAGAAGAAAAAGAAGAAGAAAAAGTCCCCGAAGAAAAGAAAATGCCACGGGCGTATAACTGGAATATGCCAGAATTACTTCAGATACCGGAAGAAGAGTTGATAAAGAAAGCAGTTGATTGTTACACAAAAGTTATTCGTATCAAGAAAGATGATTGTTTTGATACAAAGGAAGACTTGAAGATAGCTTTATATACGAAATGTGTGGAAGATGGCTATCAACTAAAAGTTAACAAATCAAGCAAAGATCGTTTCGAAACAAGGTGTATGATTGACAAAACTGTACGTGGCGTATGATTGCAAAGAGAATAAAAGATTGCAAATGTTTCAAGTTAGGACTTTTATTGATAACATACATGTTCAAGAACCCAAGTTTTTCCTCACCATAGACAGGCAAACAAAAAGGTGTTGGGTGGTTTTCTGGCTGAGTTAATGTTTTTGAATGGCAGGGTATATCGGGGACATGAAATTATGACTGACATGAATGCTCGGTTCAAGATTAGTATATCATATTCTCAAGCTTGGAGAGCCAAATGTTATGCCTTGGAATTGTTGAGGGGGTCGCCAGAAGCATCGTTTGCCCAACTGCCGGCTTATTGTCACAATTTAAAGCTGAAAAATCCTGGGTCGGTAACTCATATCAAAACAGATAGAGATGGACGCTTTGAGTTGCTGTTTATCGCCATTGGTGCTACGGTTAGTAAATCAATATAATTTTGTTGACTCATTTTTGTTAGTTACATGCATTTCACATTTAAATGATTATATTTCTTGTGTATATTATTTTGTAGATTCGTTCGTTTATTACTTGCATGCGCCCAGTTATTATAGTTGACGGAGCACATTTGAAAGGTCGATACCTTGGAGTAAACTTATTAGCAGTAGCCATGGATGCTAACAATGGGATATTGCCAATAGCTTACGGGTTGGCAAATCTGAAACCTCTGATTCATGGACATGGTTTATGGGGCATCTTAGGGATTGCATAGGTCCTATTAGCAATCTGACAATCATATCCGATAGGGCAAACTCAATTGACAACGCTGTTAGAAGGTGTTTCCCAGATGCTTTTCATGGACTTTGTGGTGTTCATTTGTATAGAATCTAAAATCAAGGTCTGCTGGTATAAAAAAGCACAAATGGACATACTGGAAGGCTGTAAAAGCTTATCGGGAAGTGGATTTCAATAAGCATATAAATTGTTTAAGACGTGTTTTGCCTCAGTGTGCTCAAACACTAGAAGATGTCGGGTTTGAAAGATGGTCAAGAGTACATCAACTTGGAGCAAGATATGGTTTCATGACGTCTAATAGTGCAGAATCAATCAACGCTCTAAGTCGTCATTCCCGGAAATTACCCATTACTATGTTAATGGAGTTTTTTCGAGCCTCTATTCAACAGTGGTACTACAAGAAAAGAAACCATGCAGGTATTATTTCTTTGAATTCGTAACTTATCATATTTATATATTTTACTAAGTATTGTTTATTTAAATTTACAGGAACATTGGAACATCGTGTTACACCATGGACTGAAAAAAAGATAACGAAACGTGTTGTGAAGTCAACGTCATGGAGAGTTGAACCATGTTCAAACACTTTGTTTCAAGTACTGGATAATAACTTAAATGGGCTAGTCGATCTAAATGCAAAGACGTGTAGTTGTATGAAATGGCAAACATCTGGTTATCCGTGTGGCCATGTTATAAAAGTTGCTCTTCATTTAAACCAAGATGATTCAAGCGCATACGCTATGGATTGCTACACTACAGAAGTTTATCGACAGACTTATGCCGAGATTGTCTACCCTATTCCACATCCTTCTGAGTGGGACATACCAGATGACTTACAAACAGTTTTGCCACCAGCCATGGACAGAAGGCTACCTGGCCGACCAAAAAGTCACGATCGTATACCGTCTAAGGGTGAAGAGAAGAAGAGATCGACATGTAGTCGGTGCAAGGAAAGTGGTCATACAAGGTTGACATGTGGATCACCAGTGCCATCAAAATCATCTTTTCCTCTACCAAAATATGGATCCTCATCAAATCCAAAGCTCATATGGTGTGAACTTTGTATTATGTAAACGTTGTTATTCAGTTGTATTATGTAAACGTTTTAACATTTAACATTTTATGTGTATTATGTAAACGTTGCCATCAAAGCTCATATGCAAACGTTGTATTATGTGGATTTTATGTGTGAACTTTTAACATTTTCAGTTGAATTAATGACTCAGGCCAACCATTTTGACTTAACCAACTCTTGTTATTCAGTTGTTATCACTATTAGGCATGCATTTGACTATCGCAACACGGAAAATACAATCGCAACGCGAAATGAAAATCCCAACATGAAAATCGCAATGCGGAAATGAAAATCGCAACGAGAGAATCGCAATGCGAAATGAAAATCGCAATGCGAAATGAAATCGCAACGAGAGAATCGCAATGCGAAATGAAAATCGCAATGCGAAATGAAAATCGCAACGAGAGAATCGCAATGCGAAATGAAAATCGCAATGCGAAATTAAAATCGCAATACGAAATGAAAATCGCAATGCGAAATGAAAATCGCAATGCGAAATGAAAATCGCAACGAAAGAATCGCAATGCGAAATGAAAATCGCAATGCGAAATGAAAATCGCAACGAGATAATCGCAATGCGAAATTATAAACGCATTGCGATTTTCATTTCCGCATTGCGATTTTCATTTCGCATTGCGATTCTCTCGTTGCGATTTTCATTTCGCATTGCGATTTTCATTTCGCATTGCGATAGTCATTTTTGCCTTCAACATAATGCAGATTGAAATCAACAAAATCAACCATTACATTTCAATCAATTAAACAAGCACAAATAAGAATTATGTTCGCATCAATTACACAAATCAACTTTTACAAATCATCTTTTACAAATCAATTAAACAATCAAAATTGAATCAACTTTTACAAATCATTAAACAATCAAAAACAATCAATTAACTATTGAATCAACTTTTGCAGCTCGACATCATTTTCACGCAGTTCACTTCTGAGATTAACCTGCAGAAACCAAACATTTGTTCAAACACACTTTCTACGCAAATTATTGAATTCTAATTACTTAACCAAACATTTTCATTTATAAGTATATAAACTTACCAATTGTTTATGGACATTTTTATAACGCGGATGCAGGTAGGCAGCGTCTCGTATATATCGATTTAGCCATATAATGCCGAAACCACAAGCCTACTGCAGCTTTATCTCTATCGGTGGGAGGTAGATACTTGATGCTTCCCGTCGTCAAACGC